GAAGTTCTGCCTGTGCATAACACTCAACACAAAAAGGACAGGCGGATGCGTATTAGGGACTTTCATTTGTGGCTTGGTGAATGGTGTCGGGAGCAAGGATTTGGCTTTATTTCTCATGGTAGCTCTGTTTGGAATGGAGATAAGCTGTACAAAAAAGATGGTTTGCATCTTTCTCAAAAGGGAACAAATGTTCTCAGTGAGCAGTTCAGAGGTTTTGCTAGGATGTATTTAAACTAGGAGAGGGGGGCAAAAGGGTGATAAAACATCAATCCAATTGTCCCCCAAAACAAGGACAGAAGGTGCCTGTAGCAAGTGTGTTAAAAAATGATAAGCTTAGAGTCATGTCTACAAATGCTCGCAGTTTAGGGAATAAGATCCATGAACTTGTGGCAATAATGGCAACTGATAGTGTAGATTTAGTCGCTGTTACTGAGACATGGTACAATGAGAAAAATGACTGGGACATAGCAATACCAGGGTACTCTTTATATAGGAAAGATAGGGAAGGCAAGAAAGGGGGAGGGTGGCCTTGTATGTGAAGGATAGCATAAAATCTAGCCTAATAAAAGTTAGTGAGGCGAACATAGAGTCCGTTTGGGTTACGTTAGAATTTGGTAATCACACAGTAACTTGTGTAGGTGTGATTTATAGGCCCCCAGGACAAATTGAAGAGTTAGATAATCTACTAGTTGAGGAAATAGCTAAAATGACAATGAAGGGGGAAGTTATCATCATGGTTGACTTTAATCTTCCTGATGTAAATTGGAAAACAAAATTAGCTACTTGTGCCAGGAGCACACATATTCTAAACTCCCTACTGGGATTGTCTCTAAAACTTTATTTTTAAAAACAAAAGAAGGAAGGTATGTAGAAGAGGATAAAGGTCTAGCTGACTGCCTCAATTAATATTTTTGTTCTGTATTTACAGATGAAAATGAAGGAAAGGGACCTCAGTTGAGAAAAAGGATAAATGAGTCATTTATTACACGTGAGTTTACAGAGGAAGAGGTTCTATTTCAACTGTCAAAAGCAAAGACAAGTAAGTCAATGGGACCTGATGAAATACACCCAAAGCTATTAAAAGAGCTTAGTGGTGTACTAGCAAAACCATTAACAGATGTATTTAATCAATCATTGTTAACAGGAGTATTCCCAGAAGATTGGAAGTTAGCGAATGTTGTGCCCATTTACAAGAAAGGTAATAGGGAGGAGTCGGGCAACTATAGGCCAGTAAGCCTTACTTCAGTAGTGGGGAAAGTGATGGAAACCATGTTAAAGGATAGGATTGTTGAACATCTAAAAACACATGGATTTCAAGATCAGAGACAACATGGGTTTACTTCAGAGAGATCATGCCAAACTAATCTTATTGATTTTTTTGATTGGGTAACTAAAATTATAGATTAGGGTGGTGCAGTAGACATTGCTTACCTAGATTTCAGTAAGGCTTTTGACACTGTTGCACATAGAAGGCTTATCAATAAGCTGCAATCTTTAAGTTTGGATTCCAATATTGTTGAATGGGTAAGGCAGTGGCTGAGTGACAGGCAACAGAGGGTTGTAGTTAATGGAATATATTGAAGCTTGGACTTGTCAACAGTGGGGTACCTCAGGGATCTGTACTTGGACCCATTCTCTTTAATATTTTTATTAGTGATATTGCAGAAGGTCTTGATGGTAAGGTATGTCTTTTTGCTGATGATACTAAGATATGTAACAGGGTTGAGGTTCCAGGAGGGATAAGCCAAATGGCAAATGATTTAGGTAAACTAGAAAAATGGTAAGAATTGTGGCAACTGACATTTAATGTGGATAAGTGCAAGATAATGCATCTTGGACGTAAAAACCCAAGGGCAGAGTACAGAATATTTGATAGAGTTCCTAACCTCAACATATGAGGAAAGGGATTTAGGGGTGATTATTTCTGATGACTTAAAGGTAGGCAGACAATGTAATAGAGCAGCAGGAAATGCTAGCAGAATGCTTGGTTGTATAGGGAGAGGTATTAGCAGTAGAAAGAGGGAAGTGCTCATGCCATTGTACAGAACACTGGTGAGACCTCACTTGGAGTATTGTACACAGTACTGGAGACCGTATCTTCAGAAGGATATTGATACCTTAGAGAGGGTTCAGAGAAGGGCTACTAAACTGGTTCATGGATTGCGGGATAAAACTTACCAGGAAAGGTTAAAGTATCTTAACATGTATAGCTTGGAGGAAAGACGAGACAGGGGGGATATGATAGAAACATTTAAATATATAAAGGGAATCAACACAGTAAAGGAGGAGACTATATTTAAAAGAAGAAAAACTACCACAACAAGAGGACATAGTCTTAAATTAGAGGGACAAAAGGTTTAAAAATAATATCAGGAAGTATTACTTTACTGAGAGGGTAGTGGATGCATGGAATAGCCTTCCAGCTGAAGTGGTAGAGGTTAACACAGTAAAGGAGTTTAAGCATGCGTGGGATAGGCATAAGGCTATCCTAACTATAAGATAAGGCCAGGGACTAATGAAAGTATTTAGAAAATTGGGCAGACTAGATGGGCCGAATGGTTCTTATCTGCCGTCACATTCTATGTTTCTATGTTTTAGACATCTATGAAATATATTGACATAATAGTTGACATTTCTGGTTTACTTATACTTGGTTTTCTATCAAGTTGTAGCAAACATGCACAATTACCAAGGGCAGTCAAAAACTAAAATGACATTCTAATTTGTGCAAGAAATACAACAATCCCAGATCATTGTTTCAAACTAAACTGAGAACTGATTGTTGTGTCCCCTAGTTCTGGGCTGTTTTGTTATCAGGAAATGAACAGAAATGAACTAACACAAAGTCAGTTGGGAAGAAAATACCTACTTGATGTGAGTTGCTCTTCAAGTGTCGACGCTTGCAGATGTCTTAGAGAAAAAGGTACCATGGGATATATTTTTTCTTTTTTTTCTTTACTTTTCTAGCTTTTTCTTTTGGTTCTTTGTAAATGTTTATCTCATCCTTATTTAATTATTCTTTAAATGTGTGAAGAGGTGAGTATTTTTCTTCCTTTTTGAGTTCTTACCTAAAGAATTATCTGTTTTAAGAGCAAATACGTGAAAGGAAAGGAATGATATTGGCATTCTAAGCATGAATGAATTGGATCAATGATCCATCACTAACAGCAAGGCTCCAACTCAAAGCTTTTATTTACCAATTCCTAAATGTTACAGTATCTTATTAACCACTCTTGAATTGAAAACAATGTCCAATTAGACTACTTTAAAAAGTTTTGTAGTTTCAATTGTTATTTATAGGTCCTGGGATTTTCACTTTGGTATCGACATTTTTCAAGTGAAAAAATATGCCAGCAATAAAAAACAAATATACCAGCAGTGAAGAATTTATGTAGCTTGGCATTTCAAACTGACTTTTGAATATCTTTCAAGAGAAATTATACTTTACAAAACTGAATCATGTAAGATACATCATACACTCAATCAGATTTAAAGAAGCTGTTGAGTGAACAGAGAGCAATTTATCACCAACAGATGATTGCAGTAGATACTAAAAAACATATCTAACTTGTCAATTTTGTTTGTAATACAAGTTTAGTTGCTGTATTTAGTGCACTGGAAGGTAATATAGTTATAATTATCCTGTTACATATTTTACAACTTGTATAATGTGTAGCTTATCAAATATGTACAAACAAGGTAAATATATCAGGAGGGTAGACTTGCGCCCATCAAGTTCAGCCTTTCTTATATTTTATTTTTCTATTTATTAGATTTTCATTGATCATGAAAAGCAATTCACATTATAGACAGAGAAATCCAGTTTTCACAATGCTGCATGAGTACATAATGGGCATCATATTTCAATATCTTTAAATATCATCAATAAATTACAAATCAATAAGAAGAAATAACAAATAATATGAATACGTGTTTATACCACTCTGCACACCATTGCATAGGTTGTTGTTAGGCACTGTATATCTCCAACTTTGCGGTTGCAATTGAGTTATTGCTTATAAAATCAGTTTGTTGGTGCATATGAAAGTCAACGGTGTTCTAAGGTGAGTCTATGGTGTTCCAAATAGTGATATTGAAATTATTAGTGATAGAAGTTTCTTACATTGTCATGTTGTCACTATCACTAATAATTTTACTAACATCTCAACTAAACTAAAGCTATTATTTTATTAATAAAAATTTATATGACAACAATGGTTGTTATATGTAAAAAATAAGGGAGAAGGGGACAGGTAGGCAGAAGATGGGAACCCATTCTATCAGATACTAATATCTTAGAAGTTTCTTACATTGTCATGATGTCACTAAGACATAAGTATCTGATAGCATAGGGTCTCATCTTCTACCTACCATTCCCCTTCTCGTTATTTTTCACATAAAACAACCTTGGTTGTCATATTAATTTGTAATAATTAAATGTTAGCTTTAGTTTAGTTGAGATGTTAGTGAAATTATATTATTAATTTTCATCTTACCAATACTCCTAACTTGTTTTGTATTCTTTATGTTTTATGCAAATGATGTCATTTTGGTGCCAAAATTCAAATAGCAATTGATTGTATTGCCAAAAAAAACCTCAGATACCAGATTAATGCTTTTATTGCCAGTTAATTAAGCCCTGTGTTAGAGAAACATGTTTTGGCTGTTTTTAATATTTTTCTATTGTGTTGTATAATATTAAAGGAATATTGGCCCCTTAACTTCTCGTCTGACATGTACCTTTTTTATATTTTTCTATTTGTATTTATTTTATTTATTTTAACCCGGTCATCAAGAATATTGGAGTATCTACTCGCAAAAGAATCCTAGGTGGATATTATACAACCCACTCTATCAAAAGTGAGCAGTATATCCTGCTCATCTAAATGTGAGTACAATACCTTTTATATTTAAGTTATATATAAGATTCCATACAGAGAGCACTATTTCTGTCCTATCTCTCTCGCCATGCAGAGAAACCTTCCCTTCTAGCAACCTATCAACAATCACCACCTTTATCCTACCGGAGGGGGGTCAACGCCACTGAATGACAGTTATACCTGACCTTGTACTAGCTCTCAAATAGGTGAGTAGGAATACTACTGCTGTAAAGTCCCCATTTGCGTGCTTGAAACAAACTACACTATTTGAGTTTTTTCCATTTGCATGCTAAGAAGTTTCTACTATCTCACAAATACAGATCCACATCTTATCCAAGTACCTCAAACAAGTTGGACATTCTTTTTAACATCTTATAATCTGGACTATACTATATTTCGATTTGGCTTTTGTATGCAAGTATATTTTTGGTATTATACTATTTTATTGATTTTACTGTGGTGCGACCTAATTTCATATTTTATTATATACCATCTTTATGTGGAGCAACAATTCTTTTTTTCAGAACATCTGAGGTTGCCATGAGGTGCCATGTTGAACTGCCAGTGACCATTATGAGAGAGTGTGAGAGCGATAACACCAAATTTAACACACCTTCTCCCCATTCACACCTGAGACCTTGTAACACTAACAAGACACATGACACCAGGTAGGGAAAATAGCTCATTGGGCCCAATTTGGACATTTCCACTTAGGGGTGTTCTCATTTTTGTTGCCAACGGTTTAGACATTAATGGCTGTGTGAGTTATTTTGAGAGGACAGCAAATTTACACTGTTATACAGGCTGTACACTTACCACTTTACATTGTAGCAAAGTGTCATTTCTTCAGTGTTGTCACATGAAAAGATATAATAAAATATTTACAAAAATTTGAGGGGTGTACTCTCTTTTGTGAGATACTGTAAGTATCTGATGGTGTGGATTCCCATTCTGTCTACCTTTTTCCTTTTCACCTAAAAACCCATGATTGTCATATCAACTGGTATTTTTTTAGATTGGTTTATTGAGGCCCAGCATAGCTCTTCCATAGCTTGGAAATGTTCTAATTGGTGTAAGTAAAAGGGACTTGTGACCCTACTAAGATAGCTACTGCTCGGGGTTTGCTATGGGCAAAATTATTATAATAAGCTGCTGGTTATTTACAGAATGAAAGTTTCAGACTGTTTTGTTCCTCTCTTGGACTAATACTATATCAGCCTTCATATGTATGAACTCCTTAAGTGCAATGCATCTTTTTACAAGTGAGTTTAGACCCCTAACATTGAAAGAGACTATGTGCAAAGTTTCCATTATGTTACCTCATAAAAGTATTCTAATACAAGTTATGGTCTACCTCTCCATATAAAAGCCACACAGAATAAGAGAAAAAGTAAGTAATGAACATCATAGGCGTGCACAGCCTATTGCATTAGGGTGTGCACCCTAAAGCACAAACACACGCTGGGTGTATATGTATGTGTTTATATATATCTCTATCTCCACGAAGAAAGGCAAACGCTGGGCTTTTTGAAGAAAATTATTTGTCTTTTTTATAACTCACGGGTTACAGCAAATCGACTTTTCATCCTGATGAAAGTCCTATGATGGACTGAAACATCGAATACACACATAGCTGTGCCTCTCTTCGTGGAGATTTATGTTGATTTGGCTGAAAGAGCACCGTGGCATTTCTACTACAAATGTGAGTGCAGGATCATGGATTTTATATATACATATGTATATATATATATACACACACATACATACACTGCTGTGTGTGTGTGCTGTTAGCGTGCTGTGTGAGCGTGGTGTGAGGGTGCTGTGTGTGTGAGGGTGCTGTTAGTGTGATGTGTGTGTGAGGGTGCTAGTAGTGTACTATGTGGGTGAGGGTGCTGTTAGTGTGCTATGTGGGTGAGGGTGCTGTTAGTGTGCTGTGTGTGTGTTTGAGGGTGCTGTTAGTGTGCTGTGTGAGAGGGTGTTGTGTGTTTGTAAGGGTGCTGTGTGTGTTTGTAAGGGTGCTGTTAGTGTACTGTGTGGGTGCTGTGTGTGTGTGGGTGCTGTATGTGTGTAGGTGCTGTATGTGTGGGGGTGCTGTTTGTGTGCTGTGTGTGTGTGAGGGTGCTGCGTGTGTTGTGTGTTTGGGTGATTGTGGGGTGGAGGTTGGGAACCTGTTTAGTTAATATCCCCCCTCCCTTCTTACGTTTTGTAGGGAGGGGGGACCATGCTGCTGCCATCCCTGGTAGTCCAGTGGATAGTGAACTCTAGCCTGCAGGGCTAGAGTTCACTCTCGCAAGATATGAGCCTGCCTCCCTCCACAGCATGTTGTGGGTCCGTGAGGGAGATCTTTGATCTCTCCACTGGCCCATGGTGAAGGCTTAGAGCAGAGCCGGCGCTTGAATAGCGCCGCCTCTGCATGAGCCAACAGGAGAGATCCTGAGATCTCCCCTGCCGGTCTCAATCCATAGGCGTGCCACGGGGATTAGGGTGTGCCCAGGCACACCCGGCACACCACGTGCGCACGCCTATGATGAACATAAGGAACAAATATTTTAGTAAAAAACAGGCCTAACTTTAGGATAATGCATAAATAATGCCCATCTGAAAAAGGATGCAGTAAGGATCCCAGGTAATATCCAATTATAAGAATTGGAAAGGGATAAAGGCTTTGTTGCCATATATTCATAAAATGAACTGCTCTAAGTGGAAGTATTAGAGTTGTCATGATTTACACTTTCTAAAAGGAGTATGTATGTCAAGGTAAGCACTGTAATCCAGCTTTTGAGTGTGGAACAGAATGGGTCAGAGCTTTCCTCCTGGACACAATGAATGATTTAGAGTCTGATGCACAGCATCTGGACAAGTAAGCTGAAAAAAAAAAATCTCTGTTTTTCTTTGTTTTTGTTTTTTTTCATTATAAACATCATATTCGAAAAAAGATTCTGAGGAGTATTCTGGAGACAGGTCAAGCATGAACATGAACCTGAAGCTGGGCGTTAAATTGAATGCTCAGTTGAAATCATGGCTGTTATTTGGAGTACTGTTTCCAAGACATCATTAACAAACAAAAATAACAATATGCCAAAATAAAATATACAGACAGAAAATTAACTCTCTGTAACCACATTCATTTGCAGTCCAGTTTCTGGATTAGATCCTGGGGTAGTGATGGTGTATTTAGTTCCTCCATGTAAGATCAAAAAAGAGAAGAAATTGTCCTGTTAACATATCACTTCTGCAGTAGTGTTGTCAATATGTGAAGAGATCTTCTCCCCTATAGTGCAGTTCAGGAAAAATTCCAGGAATAGTTTTATAGAAGAGTTCTCAAATCTCAGAGGCGAAGTTGAGCATGACATTCTCAGAATCTCTCCCTTCGATGCAGAGTAATAAATCTTGCAGATCACATCTCTTGGTGTCTAGGTGAAATTCCTTTGGGTCGCAGAGCCATGTGTGCTCTGTTGAAAGGTATTGTAGATTCCAAGGGTTTTTGTAGAATAGTATTAAAGAGTGTCTGCAAAGTTTTCTGGAGATTCTCAGGGCCTTTGTGTGCTTTAGAAAGCCCCCTGATCCGCAAATTATTTCTCCTGCCCCTGATATCGATGCCATTTATCTGTCTAAATATGTGAGACTATTTAGTCTCCAGTTCAGTTTGCAAAATTTATTATCCCACCACAAGACAGTTGTTACTAGCTGCAAGTGTAGAATATCCCAAACACGGCATAAGCATCTATATCCCGGATCCCTACAACATGAGTCGAGGCTGCAAGTTGAGGGTCAAAACGAACTGGCTTTACTGGCACACAAACATGGCAATTTATGCGATTCCTCAGGTCCAAGGACAGCCCCCTGTGGACCTGATGGAATACAGGTACAGTACAAACAGGTAACCAATCATAGTACAGTGTATCATTTGAATTAGTACCCGCCCAGCTTGGAGATAATGAGGCCAACGGTTATACAATCTAATTATCTCCAAGCGCACAAAGACCACGTTTTATTATGCCTCATAAAACTGTATAAAAATCCATAACTTTAACATCAATAGAGGAAAACAGTTCATTCTACCATTCATTCAATAGCTCGCGCTTGGGCCCATTAAACATACGAATGGCGCTCCAATCCCATGAGCAGAAGGATCTATTTCTGCCGTATAAAGTCTGTTCGGTATTTTGGATCGTGAGTCTCTGATGGTGGCCATGTTTTTAGACGGTTTAACGAGCAGCGGGACCTCGCCTCCAACTTATGGAACTAAACTTGGGTATAAGTTCATGCGAATCCCCGCTGTCTGTCTGGTAGTGGAACTCGTTCGGTACATGAATGAGGACCACCTGGTAGCATGGTACTTGAGTTGCGGTTAACCGCAGAAACCACAGGCTAATTGCTGCCACACGACCCACTGTAGGGGGTCTCCGTTCGTGAGGTTATTCGGTAGGTTCCCTTCGGTGATTTGTGTGCGAACGTCGATCCTCAAGGCCCGTTAATTAGTCTGTGGTTAACCGCAGACCGCAGCCGCCTGGGTGGTTAATGGACGCCACACTCCGCTGGTCGGGTGGTCGACCGTTCGGTACTTTGCGGGGGCGTTTGGGGGGGTCTCTCGTTCGTATCACGAATAGGGTTTTTATAAGAATTTGTGTAATCCATTCGTGTTTCCTCTGGTTAAACGTATAGGGTTGTAACAGTAGCAACATGTAATAACAATAATGGCGTCATTTCGAGTCTTTTGTAACAACAGTATAGTTGGCTTATGTTCATTTAAACGGAGCGATACTGGAATCCACAAACTGTCAGACAACTTACAAAAATGAAATGAAATAATAAATAATAATAATAATAATAAAAATAAAAGAAAAAGAAAAAAGTATATAATAACAAAAATCCTGAATTAAAGAAAACAAATTAAATCAAAATCCACATTCAACCCATTGGGTTGAAGGGTTCTCAGTTTGTGGATCCAGAATCCCTCCCTTTGTCTCAACCTCATGGTGATGTCTCCTCCTCTTGCACCAAGAGATACTTATTCTATGATCACCCAGGAAAGATTGTGAATATGGAATTGCGGACACTGGTTGCAATGAACTGGGACGGAGTGATTCTTAATATCTCTTCTGATGTTGTTTTTATGTTCTAAGAAATGGGTCTTAGCTTTTCTCCCCGTCCTTCCCACATAATGTGCACCACATCCACAAGAGAGGAGGTACACAACATGCGAGGAAGAACAGGTGATCCGCCCCTGTATTAGAAAGGTCTCTTTGGTAATAAAACTGGAAAATGAGCATGTGTGGGATGGTAGTCCCCTACATGCTTTGCATGTACCGCAAGTGTAGAATCCTCTACTACCCTCCAATTTATTATTAGTCTTGCTATGGAAATGACTAAGTGCTAAATGTATGGAAAAACTCTTCCCTTTCGTATAAACGATTTGGGGGTGTTCTGGTAGTTGGGAGCCTATATATTCGTCATATTTGAGAATATTCCAATGTTTTTTTTTAAATTCTATTGATGGCAATAGCTTTGGAATTGTATTGGGTATGAAATGAGAACTCAAAGCATTTATTAGAATTATTAATAGGTTTAATCTTATCAACCAAAAGATCTCCTCTCTCAATACTTTTAACTCTTTCCACCTCTCTATCCAGTAATTCTTTCTCATAGCCCTTCTCAATAAATTTG